GGGATTGTGGGGGAGAGCATGTGAGGTAAGTAATTGAACTTTTGTGCACACAAAACTCTCTAAGGAGAGAGGGGGAGAGGGAGAGCCCTCCCCCCCCCCCCCCGCCGCTCTTTGGGGCGGCCCTACTGGCGCAGCTGCTCGCGGTGGTACGCCGAGAGCAGCCGGTCGAGCGGCTCCGCCGCCGCAGCGCTCCTCGCGGGGTCGGGCACGGCGCCGGCGCGGCCCTCTGCAGCGCCGGGCGGCGTGTTCTCGTCGTCGGGTGGGGCGAGATCGCAGACGAAGGAGATGTCGCAGAGGAGGGAGGAGGCAGGCAGCGCGGCGAGCAGGGAGCGGAGGAGCGAGTCCGAGACGCGCGGGCACCCCATCAGGCCTGAGGGAGGCAAGAGGCGGGCGCTATACGCGCGGGGGCAAGCTGTGGCCCGAGACGCGCGCAGTTCGGAGGGCCGAGGCTGCGCAGCGAGGGCGGCGGGGCGGGAAGGAGCTGCCGCAGAGGCTCGTCGCCGAGCTTGTCCAGGAAGTTGAGGCTCACGCACCTGACGGGTCAAGGAAGTGTCCGGGAAGTGTCAGTGAAGTGTCACCGAGCTTGTCCAGGAAGTTGAGGCTCACGCTCAAGGAAGTGTCCGGGAAGTGTCGGGGGACGGACGGCTCCGGGAAGGGTTCGGGCAAGGCCCGGGAGGGCTCCTCAAAGGCGGCGAGGGAGGCGGGAGGGGGCGCGCACTCGAGGCGAGGCGCCCGCCGCAGCAGCGCGCCGACGAGCGCGTCCGTTGCGTCCGTGTGAGAGAAGTCGACATGCCTCAGCTGCGGCAGCTGCGGCGGGCCGTCGACGCCAAAGGCCTTGACGTGGAACGACCAGGAGGAGCCGCCCACCGCGGTGCAGCCTCGCAGCCGCAGCGTCTGCAGCGTCGGCGAGGTGACCGCGAGCACGTCGACCAGCGCCGCAGAGGTCAGGTGCGCCTGTCGGACATGTCAGGGTAGTGTCGTGGACATGTCCAGGACAGGTCCAGGAAGCCGCAGAGGTCACGTGCGCCTGCCCGCCCAGGTCGAGGGAGACGAGCCGGCCGCCGCACGCCTGCAGGAGGAGGAGCAGGCCGCCGTCAGAGATATGGGGAGATATGGGGAGATATGGGGAGATGTGGGGAGATATGGGGGAGATAGGCCTGCAGGAGGCTGAGCAGGCCGCTGTCGGAGAGGCCGCCGCACGACCAGGTGAGCAGCGAGGCGTCCGCCCCCTGCGCCGCCAGAAACGCGTGCCGCACCCTGCACCCTCGGTGCGGCAGGCTCACGCGCAGGCTCGTGGTCGCGGCCAGCCGGCGCTTGAGCCCGGGCGGAAGCGCGGAGAGCGACGGCCGCAGCTGCAGGTCGACGTCGGCCCAGAGGCTGTCCGCTTCCGAGACTCGCCGCAGTGCCGTGCAGACCGCCGCTGCGACGGCCAGCTCGTCGGGAGAGAGGCCTCGCAGCGTCAGCGGCAGGAGCTCGTCCGGCAGTTCGAGATAGCGCATCGACGCTGGCTCGGAGAGGGAGGCGCGAGAAGAAGGCCGCCGGACGGTGGCGGGCGAGAAGAAGGCGGTGGCGACTATGGCGGGCTCGTTGGGCCGGAGGGGAGTGAACTTTGACATGGGCAGAGCGATAAGGCCGAGTCGGCAGGTGGAACCCGACAACGAACGGATGTTTGGGTCTCGGGGTTTCTTTCGTCATTTAAACGGGTAAACGCAAAACCCCTTTTTCACCTTGCGTTGAGGTGTCTGTCCGTACTCGGCTCGGAGCTTGGCGGTCGGTGCGGGCTGACGTGCGTGCTAGATCTATCGCTTACATGATCCTGCTCTGTGCAACTTCAATCGACATGAGTTGGGGTTGGTTTTTCTATTTTTAGCCAGATGGGGCCGGGGGCGCAATCTCTTCCGATACAGCACGGCACCGAACCCCCAAGGCCTGCTGCTGAGGCTGCCTCAGTCTCTCAGTCAGCTCGGCGCAGGGGACGCGGGGGACGGAGGCTGCCTCAGTCAGCTCGGCGCAGGGGACGCGGGGGACGGAGGCTGCCTCAGTCTCTCAGTCAGCCTCGCCCAATGTCCAAGCTCATCCTTCACGGCGTTCCCGTCTCTCAGCCCTTCCGGTCGGTGCTGTGGGCCACCAAAATCAAGGGCCTGCCGCTCACGCTGCAGACTGCCGTCCCGCCAAAGCACACGACCACGGATAAGTTCAAGGCGCTCAACCCTCGAGGCACCATTCCGGTCCTCGAGGACGGCGACTTTGCGATGTGCGAGGGCCCGGCGATCCTCGCCTACCTCGCTGATACGCACGGCTGGGACGACCTCTACCCGCGCGAGCCGCAGCAGCGGGCGCGGGTCCTCGAGGCGCTATCGTGGACGGTCGGGACGCTCCGGCCAGCCACGTCTCGCATCATCGGCCCTCTCATGCGGCCGGACGTTGCGAAGCGGATGGCGGAGAGCCCGGGCCTGGGAGCCTCCATCTACGCAGGCCCTGCGGACAGCGCGGGCGGGCTCTCCCACGTCCTCACCTCGCTCGAGGCGGTGCTGGAGCACAGGCCCTTCCTCGCCTCTGCCGGCGCGACCATCGCCGACCTCTCCGCCTACTGCGAGCTCGGACAGCTGCAGCCTGCCCTCTTCTCCGATCCCGCCACTGGATTGCCTCTCTTCGACTTTTCGCCGTTTGCGTATCGACATCTGGGACGCGCGAGAAGACCACAGCGACGCACCGCCGAGAGGGGATGACTCCCCGAATATAGGCGCACGACGGCGTGGCTCGATCGCATGCGCGCGCAGCCCCACCACGACGAGGTGCACGCGCCGCTCCGCGAATTCTGCTTACACTTGACCAAGAAGGCGGCGAAAGCAAAGGCAGGATGACGACACTAGCTAGTACAATCCTCAATCGTGTGACTGGTTCTGCGGATGCGGGGGTTGTGCAGTCCCCGCGGGAGGGGTTTTTACCTCATGCACGATAACGGAGAGAGAGCTTTAGCTGCTGCTGCCTGCGGTGCCGCTGCCGGTGGGGGTGGGCGCGCTACACGTCCGAGTGTGACACTTCTTTTATGTGCAAATCCACCCCGTTCCCGCCTCTCACACGTGTTCTCCTCCACCCGGGTCACGGCGCGGTACTACACTTGAGCGGTTGCCCGCGCTCTCTCTGCTCTCTCTCTACTTCGGGCTCAGAAAGGCGATCTGCGCCTCCACCTCCTCCAGCTCGTGGCGCGTCTTCTCCCATTTCTTGCGGAGGTCGGCCTCGCTCGCCTGGAGCCGGGTACGGCGCTCCTGCAGCTGGTAGCGGAACTGGTGCGACGCCATCAGCTCGGCGGTCGAGCGGGAGATGCGCGAGAGGCGGTGCGAGTCGCCCATGTCGGCGGCGGCGTAGGCGTCCTTTGCGCGGACCTCCGGGATCACGACGTCCCCGAGAAGCGCGGGCGCCGCCTCGACGCCGAGTCCGATGCGGTGGCACTTGGCGAGCAGGTCGGCGGCGATCCGCTCCGAGACGACCGAGTCCTGGCGGTAGTCCGGGTGCGAGCAGACGAAGTCGCGCATCCACCGGGCCGGCGTGTGGAGCCGGCCGCTGGCGCGAGCGACGATGAAGTCAAGGTAGCCCGAGAGGGAGCTCATCGTGGCGCTATCCGTCTCGATCAATTCCAAGTAGGTCAGCACCATCGGCACGAGGCCCTTGAACTCGCCCCGCCCGACCATCACCTCGTACAGCGAGAGCTCCTCCACGCCCGCGGTGCGGCCGCAAGACGCGGAGGCGCGCGAGTCTCGCTTCGAGTCCATGTCGCCGCCCTGCCCAGCGGGCGGCCCCGGCTCTGGCTCGCCGTCGTCCGACTGGCCCGCTGCGGGAGGCATCGACCGCTGCTGAAAGTGGAACCGCTGCGTCCTCACGGCGTCGCGGGCGTGTGCGCGTCTCATATTTTCGTCGACGCACCTAAGGCGCGCGCAGGGAGGCGGGGTGCAGGGGCGGGGCATCGAGTCTCGTGGCAGGGCTGCGAGCTTGGGGTGTACGAGATTGGGGTGTACAGGTTCAGGTTGAAGTAGAGAATGACGCGCGAGACGAGCACCACAAAGGTGGTGAAGGCGGCGTTCTCGTAGTCGGTCAGCTGGACCTGCAGCGAGAGGGAGGCGGCTGTGACGACGCAAAGGAGGCTGCGAGCGAGGCGAGAGACCGTGCTGCGCCTCCATCGAGCGGAACTCGGTGCGCCAGCCGATGTGCGAGTCGCTCTTGGCGGGGGGCGGCTTCCAGCGCACCGTCTGCCAGTTGGTGGACTGGATATTCTCAAAGTGGCTGCGAGGACGAGGGCCGGGGTGGGCCGAGTTGGTGGGGGAGGCGGGCAGAGTCGTGAGAGCGAGAGTGGCGGGGGGAGGTGGCGAGCGCGCACTCCGTCTCGGTATCGTCGTCGAGCTCGATGCGCTCGCGGTAGACCACGAGAGGGTCCCGCGTGAAGAGGTGCGCCAGGTGCCTCGCCAGCACCGCGTCCACGCCCGCGTCGAGGAGCGTCTGGAGCGCCTCCTCGTCGATTGGCGCGTCGACGTCGTTGTACCGCTCGGTGCGTGTCTGCTCGTCCTTGCCGCCGAGGTGGTCACAGATGAACGAGGAGATGGAGTCGTATCTCGACTTTGGCAGCCTTTTCACCCCTCCTCCGGCCATCTCCGGGTGCCGGGCCGCCCCGTCATCCATGCCCCGCTCGGCGGGAGTGCGATCGTCGACCGACTGGGCAATGATGTCCCAGCGGACGTCGGTGTCGAGCAGCACACCGCGCGCGATGGGCGTGGCGGCGGTGAGCGCGAGCATGACCGGCGCGAGCACCGCTAGCTGGTCAAACAGGTGCCTCGACTCTGCGACGTTTCGCGTCTGAAAGGTGACTTGCAGGCAGCAGCAGCCCATGCCGAACGCCATTGCGTCCATGTACACCTCCTCCATCTGCAGCGCCTCGGCGCGCGTCTCCGGCGGGGGGCAGCCCGCGTGACGCTCAAAGGCCGGCGTCTTCTCGTCGGCGAACCGCGGCATCCAGATGTCGACCTTTGAGCCGCGCCGCCGCCTGATGTTGGCGACGAGCGCTCCGAAGCGGGGCGCGGGGTTGATGACTTCGTCCGGCACGAAGAGCGACTCGGAGAGGCCCGGCTTTGGATCGGCGGGCGGGTGAGAGCAGGAGCCAACGCCCATCAGCGGGAAGGCCGTCACCGTGGGGCAGATCTCGTCGGCGGCGAGGGCCGCGAGGAGGCGGGCCCTGCGGATGCGCATGTTGCGCTCCACAAGCAGAAGGTCGGCAGCATACCCCGAATAGGGCTGGCCGGGCGTCCCTTCCACCATCCAAGAGCCAAACTCCGGCATCCACGCGCAGCTCTGGCCGGCCGAGTCGCCGGCTGCCTCTTCCCTCTGTCGCAGCTGCTTCATAATCTCGGGAGCTCGCAGTGAGAGCCTGACGCTGTGGCCCTGCTCGTCGATCTTGAAGATGCCGTATTCGAGCTCATCGCCCCACCGCAGCATGTCGCCCTCGATGGCCTCGACGCGGCGGTAGTGCCGGATGAACTGCTCGATACCGTGCTGGCGCACGTACTTGACCACCTCGAGCGAGTCCTCCCAATCGAGAGGCGAGGCGTCGACGAGGAAGCCTGTGGCAGGGGATATGCGTTGTTGGAGAGAGCTGGTTGGTCGCTGGGACACTCTCGGCAGCACACCCATCGGGCCCGCCCGACGAGGCAGTACGAATTTCCCGGCCACTCGCGCGGGTCCGTCAGAGGCGAGAGAAGGACGGACACACACGGTCACTAGTGCTTAGCCTTCGATGTTATCTCTTAGGTGGCGAAGATCCCAGGGCGGATCTTCCAGCCCCTTTCGGCACCGCAGCGCGGTCCTACGGCCGCTGGTGGCCGCCCCGATGGCCCAGCTGGCCTAGCCGGGTCGGCTGCATGTCCAGGCGGGCCGTGGGGGCCATTGTTGGGTCATTGTGTCTCGTTTGAAAACGGGTTTTCGGCTGACGGCAGAAGATCCTCTGGAGGATCTTCTGCCGGGAACCAATGTCAGAGCTCTGAACGGCTGATCTGAGAGCCCCCCAGCACAGTAGGGATTGATTATGATCAGATCCATCACTCACTGGCCGGGGTTGAGCTATTCTAGACGACAAGCCGCGTGCAGAGTGCCTGAAGTTCAGCCCCGCACGACGCACAGACGTGCCGGCTAGTGGGCTGCTAGCGCTCTGCGGGCAGTAAATGTCGCGCTTCTGGGCCACCAAGCCGGTAAGATGACCTAACCCGGTCAGTCTGAGGCTGCGGCCATGATGGTTGTACTCCTCCTGGTGTCGGTGGACCACTTTTTCGGCTTGAGCTAGCGACGAGAATTATCAGCGCGAGGTGGACTCACGAGGGAGGCCACGGGTCGCCATGTTGGGCACACAGGTGCCACCCAGGCAGAAGTATTGACCAGACAATGAATACGTACAATACCCTCACAAAGAGAGCGATGCCTTCCCACCTGCTGACCGCTTCAGCGGTGGTCGCCACCAATGCAACGACGGCACTCGCCGGCCACGTTGCTGGCCAGCACCAACAATTCTGGGCGCCGCTCGGCCCGAGGCATTGCTAGGCCTGCTCAGGTCGTGCCACATGAGCACTGAATGGCCTCGTAGGGGGCTCATGGGGCCGGTGACGGCGCCCTGCGCCGAAGATCCCAGGGCGGATCTTCTGGCCGCCACTTAAGAGTCTTACAACAAAACTCCCTCGCACAACACTGGGCACGGGACTGGCGCGCACTGGCACGAACACAGGTACACCACGGGAGCCGCCTAAGCGACTCCTGCGAGGGTGGCGAGGCACTTAGCTCCGTGCACCCGCCCACCCCCGCCACAGGCAAGCTCATTCACGACCTGCTCTGCGATGGCCGTGTGAAGAACGACTGAGATGCGCTGCTTCTGCAGCCCCAGCCAGCTCTTGGTGGTCCAAGTCACCTCATCGAGGTACTGGGCCCGCGTCAGCTTGTTCTGTAGCACGTCCGCCGCTCTCCGGAGGATCTCACGGACCCCCTTTCCGAACCCGCCGAACGATTCGAACAGCAGCAGCTGCACTTCGACGCCCTTGTCTTCCCTGGCGTAGCGATAGTCCCCGCCGTAGGACGGTATGCGGCGGTCGCCGCCCACCACCCTGCCCCCCCTGGTATGCCAGCGCCCAGTCCCTTGCCCTCTCTCGCCCTTGCTCTTCCTCTCCCCCTCCATGCCACTTAAGAGATGAAACAAACGCAAGGCGGACACATGGCATATCGCTCTCGGGCCCACAGACATCCCGCACACCCGCCGCCCCCGCGCGCGCCCCACCCACCCCGGCCGTGAGAAAGGGGAGTGACAGTTCGGGACGGCGACAGACGAGATACCTCGCACTCCATGTGCGAGAACGCAGAGAGAAATGAAAGCCGAGCGGCTCACAAGTCCGGCTCACGCGCCCCGAGCTGACCATCTACCGCACTGCACACTCACTTGCGCCCCCTCGCTCCCAACCCATCCGCCTCGCCTCGGGCCGCGCCGCGCGATCTCGGTTGATCTCGCGCAATCTCGGGCGATCTCGGGGCCGCGCCGCGCGTGACTCTCGCAAGCTCGCCTCCCATCGTCCATCGACCGAGTGCGAGCCATGCAGCGTGCTCGCGCAGTGCCGCTCGCAACGTCAGGGGTCGTCCGATAGCATGGAGGGGACGGGCCAGGGACGGGCCCACACGCACACACGCTGCACACGATTGGCTCGGGAGCGGCCCAGACACGAGGCACGCTGTCACCGGCCGTAGCACTGGGTCCGGACTGCTGGACGCACAACACACAGCTCACAGTACAGCTCACGAGGGTGGCGCTATATAGTGGGGTTCGCGGGGACTGGCGCAGGAGAAGAAGGTGGAGCACAGGGACAGGGACACAGAACTCACGAACCGATATCCCACCCCGCGCCCGGGGCGGTGGCGCGCGCCCTGGATCTTTGGACCCGCAGTCTGGCAGACGCCAAGGCCGCCAGGAAAAAATTCTTTTACTTTGCGAATCCTCGCGTTGCGCGCAGCTCCTCTACCCAGGCTGCTCTCTCGCCGAGCATATGGCGAGAGAAGCCAGCAGCTCAGACGTGAAGCCGGCGCTTCTCCGCCAGCTCGAGACCGACGGAGGCCTGCAGCACGTCTTCGTGCTGCCCGACAGCACCGGCGAGCTGTGCGCCGCCGCGACTCTGATGCTTGAGCCAAAGCTCCTCCGCGGCGGAACGACGGTGGCGCACATCTGCGAGCTGGTATCGCTGCCGTCGCCCGCCTCTGCGGCGCGCTTCGCGCCGCTCGACGCGCCGCTCGAGCTGATTCAACCCCTGGTCGCTACCGCAAAAGCGTCGGGCTGCTACAAAATCATCGCCGACGTGCCAGCCGCGAGCAGCCAGCCCTTCCTCGACGTGGGCTTCCGGCCGACGCAGCTGGCCATGGAGATTGAGCTCGCGCCGCCGGCATCGCTGCTCCAGGGCGGCGTCGCGCAGGGCATTCTCGCCGCGTCCGCCGCGGTGGCCGCGGGTGCCGCCGCCGCACTCGCTCGCGGGTCGCTGCCGCCGGCGGTCGCGGCGGCGGCGGTGGCCGGGGCGGGGGCGGTCGCGGCGGCGCGGATGGGGACGCTCCACGGGCGCCGCCGCCGCGTCTTCGGCGGGCTGTCCCCGCGGCAGATAGCACTGCCCCGCGGCCCGCTGCGCTCTTTGACGCTGCGTCGGCTCTCCCCCGCTGACGGCGCAGCCCGCTACCTCGCCCTCCTGGGTGTGAACAGCGTCTCTTCACACCTGCTGCTGTGAACAGGTCCCGCCCGCTACCTCGCCCTCCTCGCGCAGCTGTCCGTCGCCCCGGAGATGAAGCCGCACGTCTTCGAGGCGCAGCTGCGGCGCGTCTCCAACTCGGACCTGCTCGCCGTGTTGGTGGCGGCGCCGGCGGGCGGGGGAGAGATCGTCGCGTGCGGCACTCTGATCGCAGAGAGAAGGGTGCTGCGGCCGTCCGACGGCTGGTGCCAGCATCAGCCGCTGACTGCGCACATCGAGGACGTCGTCGTCGACGAGAAGCTGCGCGGCTCCGGCATAGGCAAGCAGCTGATCCGCTGTCTCCTCGAGATCGCTGCGGAGGCGGGCTGCGACACGGCGAGCCTGAACTGTACTCCAGGCCTTCTGGGAGCCTTCTAGGGACCTTCCAGGAACTTTCCTGTAGGCGAGCCTGAACTGCACTCCCGACAACGCGCCCTTTGCTACGAGCGGTGGGGCGAGCTGCGGACAGCGTCTCTTCACGGCTCTGTGTGTGAATAGGCGGCCTTCTACGAGCGGTGCGGCCTGCACAGAGGCGAGGGGGCGGGCCCGCCGCTCGAGCTGCCGCGAGCAGCGCCTCTTCACATTTGCCGCTGTGAACAGGCGACGCGGACGGGCTCGCCCTCTACTTTTGACGCGGGGGGCGGGGCCGCTGTGTGTTGTGATCCGGTGCACACTTGATGTTCGAGGGGCAAGCAGCCTCCATGCCTTTAGTCTGGTAGACAGTCACCCACCTCCAGATGCCGTCGCCGCTCTCAGAGTTTCCTCCGGGAATTGTGCCCGTCCTCCTGTCGGCCCCGCCGCCGCGGCGTCGGCCGGTGTGCGGCTTTCAGCTCAGCAATCTTGCTCGCGTCAGACAAGCAATCGGGGTGGTCCGCGAGAAAAAAATCGCTACGAATAACGAACCATCCTCTTGCCTGCATGCACAACATGTGCATGTGCACGATGCGGGAACGCGAGTGAGCGCAGAGTGGACGTCTCCGTGTCCGACCGACCGAGAGCGAGACCGAGTACTTTTTTTTAGAACACGTTTGCGCCCACGCGCATCCGCATGCGCCCGCCACGCGCCACGGCCACCCCACACGGCAGCCCCCCCCCCCCCCCCCCCACACACACACACACGGCCCACACGCAAGGATGATTATAAAAATGTGTGTTGTGTATCTGAATATGTATCGCGCCCGCGGCGCCGCCCGCGCTGCCGCTGGGACGCCCGAGTCTCATACACTCTTGAAGTCGGCCGACTCTCGGGGACCCCGCCTCCAACGGCCAAATCGCCACAGGGCCACAAACGCGAGCGCAGCACCGGCGGCGCACTGCAGCTGCGCGCTGCTGCCGATGCCCGCGCCTGCCAGCAGGCCGGGCTGGGAGGCCCTGGCATTTGGCAGTGCGGACGATGCGGTTGCGATGTGTTCTGCTTCAAGATCGTGGCGGTGCTTGGCATGCACTTCTGCGATCCCAATCAGCTCATCGCAACGAAGCAGCGCAACAAGCTGGCTGCTGCCAACAAGGCCCTATGCTACCTCACGCGCGGATCGTTCAAAGAGGACCAGCATACACAGGCTTCTCTGACATGCGTTTGTTTGAGCTTGAGGCTATTTGTGAGAACTATTTGGCTAGATGTCGCCGAAGTGCGCTCAAGAAGCAGCAACGAGAATCGGAAGAGGAGGATGCTGAGGCGGCGATTGCTGAGCATGAGGAGGATCGATCGCCCGCCGCGCAGGCGAAGAAAATTTGGGCGCGAGCGCCGTATATCGCGTGCCATGGCCGACTTAGCCGGTGTAAGAGGCTCCCGCTGATCTTAGACCGCGTAAGCACTCCAGCGTGGCTAGCCACACTTAGACCCGTTAAGCCGCGAGGCTCAGAACTTAGACTACTACCCAACCAGTTTGACTGTGATATGTGAATCAGTCTGTGTGCAACTACCCCCTACCCGCGATAATATATAGACGTTAGACCGTGCCCAAAATCCAAACATACGCACCAGGGTGTCATCGAGACACCTGATGTGTGTCATTACCGCGACTGGGGAGGGATCGCGTGGGCTCAGGGACGCCAGAGAGCGAGCCCGTCCCTCCGGAGAAGGCGCGCTTGGCCGCCTCGGACAGGGCGCGCTCGGACAGGTCCTCCTCTGTGACCAGCTGCACAAACTCGTGGAGGGCGAGGACGTGGTCGCCGTCGGTGTCAATCATCGAGATGAGCGTCTCGCAGTCCTCAAGGCTGGGCTCGAGACCGGTCGCGGCCTTGAGCGCGTACTTGAGCTCGCCCGCCTCAAGAAAGCCGTTGCCCGACGTGTCGAACCGCGCGAAGATGCTGCGTAGGTCCCGCTCCCTGCCCAACGCGCCGCCAGCCCGCAGGCCGAGCTGGACCTCCCACCGCTTCAGCCGCACGCGCGCCTGCCGCCGGAGCCGCGAGGCCACCGCGGCGGCGGCGTACAGCGCGCAGTGCCCCGCAAGCCACGGAGATACCAGGAAGCGGAGCGCCTGCAGAGGCCCCGCAGTCACCGGCGCGGCCTGCGCGGCGAGAAGTGCCGACGCGAGCCCAAAGGTTGGCACGAAGAATTCGCCCGACATTTTCTACGAGGGTCGGGGGCCGGACGGTGAGATTACCCGAGGAGATTACCTGAGAGGACCCGAGAGTTCGCACAAAGTAGAAGAGCAACGTCGCCGCGGACAGGATGGCTCGCGTGTCGTTGTCCGGGCCAAATAGCGGCGAGGCGGTGGTGATGGCGGCGCCGACGAGCCACGCGCCGACGGTGCACAGCAGGAAGCCGCGCACAGGAGGCGGAGACGGGCCGCCGAAGAAGATGATTGCGGACGAGAGCGACGGCGGCGCAAAGGTCTTGAACGGCAGCTTTGATGTCGAGTCGATGCCGTGCAGAGCGAGAGCGGCTGCCGCGAGCGCCAGCGCGGATATGAGGCAGTCGAGGACCCGTTTCAGTAGCTGGACGCGGCGGAGGCGCCTGGTGTTGCTGTGCTCGGGTGGTGGGGCGAGGACGGCGTAGTCGGCGTGGGCCCTGCCCATGAGGCGTGCGCTGTCGGCAGCGAGACGTGCCTGACTCTGTCTGAGTCAGGCGACGCCGGCAGAGCCCTCTCAACCTCTCAGGCGACGCCGGCACAGCCCTAACTCTCTCCGGCAACAGAGGCCTGGCCTTTGCGGGGGCGGCATCGAAAAGAATCTTACAAGCCCTCCCTCGCACAACACTGGGCACGGGACTGGCGCGCACTGGCACTAACACAGGTACACCACGGGAGCCGCCTAAGCGACTCCTGCGAGGGTGGCGAGGCACTTAGCTCCGTGCACCCGCCCACCCCCGCCACAGGCAAGCTCATTCACAATCTGCTCTGCGATGGCCGTGTGAAGAACGACTGAGATGCGCTGCTTCTGCAGCCCCAGCCAGCTCTTGGTGGTCCAAGTCACCTCATCGAGGTACTGGGCCCGCGTCAGCTTGTTCTGTAGCACGTCCGCCGCTCTCCGGAGGATCTCACGGACCCCCTTTCCGAACCCGCCGAACGATTCGAACAGCAGCAGCTGCACTTCGACGCCCTAGACTCCCATCATGGGGGGTGGTCGAATCCGCCCTTGGAAAATTCTTTTTAGGCTTCTAAGCCGTCGCCTTTGCAGTGCCAGTCCCGTACCCGGTGTCGTGCGAGGGAGTTTTGTTGTACAATTCTTTTTAGTGGTGTACCTGTGTTAGTGCCAGTGCGCGCCAGTCCCGTGCCCAGTGTTCTTTTTAGGCCGCCCCGTAAAATTCTTTTTACCGTCCTATGGCGGCGAGTATCGCTACGCCAGGGAGGACAAGGACGTCGATGTGCAGCTGCTGCTGTCCCAGTACCTCGATCGATGACTTGGACCACCAACCAAGAGTTGGCTGGGGCTGCAGAAGCCAGCGTATCTCAGTCAGTCGTTCTTCACACGGCAATCACAGAGCAGATTGTGAATGAGCTTGCCTGCGGCGCGAGTGCACGGAGCTAAGTGCCTCGCCGTCCTCGCAGGAGTCGCTTAGGCGGCTCCCGTGGTGTACTGTGTTTGTTGGTGTCCAGTCCGAGCCTGGCTGTTCTTCACCTTCCTAACTAACTAACCTGTGTTAGTGCCAGTGGAGAGAGTTGTTTGTCATAAAAAGAATTGTACCACAAAACTCCCTCATGTGTTAGTGCCGTGCGGCAAGCCAGTACGTCAACTAAAAAAAGAATTTTTGCGCTACGAGGCAAAAACCAGTTCTTGCTCACCGCTCGTCGCGCTTGCCTGACGATGGCCCTCACTCTGCTTCTCTCAACCGCCGCCGCGAGCCTCGTCGCTCGCGGGCCGCGCTTCGCTCCCGCCGCGGCGCGCGCTTTGCGATCTCCGGTGCCATTCGCAGCCGCTCCTGCCGCCGCCGCCACGGACACCGCCGCCGCCCGCGAGGCGCTCTTCGCCGCCATCGCCGACTTTCGTGCTGCCGAGGAGGCGGAGGGCAAGACGTCCGTCGACTTTGGCGTCAAGGGCGGCGAGCTCGACAAGAAGAGCCGGGCGCCGGCCGACCTTCGCCAAGTCTGGACGGGCCGGGTGAGGGAGGCTGCACGCGCCGTCGAGTCCGCCATCGACACGCTCGCTCCGTTCAACCCGACGCCCGACGCGACAAAGCTGCTAGGCACGGTGGAGGGTGACCTGTGCCCGCTGCACGGCGCTTGGCGCAACGTCTGGACGACCGCAGCGGACGCGTCCTTCTCTCCCAACTCGACGCGCGGGGACGCCAACGTGTACAACGTGGTGGACGGGACCCGCTCCCGGATCACAAACCACATCGACTTCGCATCCGGCGCCCAGTTTCGGGTGCTGTTGAGGGCAACGGCGCTCTCTCCTCTCCGGGTCGGGCTGCGGTTTCGATTCGTGAAGGTCTCGCCACCGCGGCCGATCCTCGGCCTCCTGCGGACGATCGTGATTCCGGTGCCAGGTCCGTTCCTGACCCGCGTGCTGTCGCTGCTCGGCCGCGGGCCAAAGGAGGGGCCGCCGCCCGCCTACTTTGACGTCCTCTACCTGGACGACGAGCTGCGCGTGCATGTGACGGGGCAGGGAAATCTGTTTGTGCAGCGCCGAGCGCCATGGAGCCGGTAAGGAGACTTGCCGAGAAGCTTTTAATATATGTGTTCCCGCGTTGTTTATTTGTTTGTCCGCCTGCGGAATATGCAACACAACAACCGGAGAAGAGAGGCGGCCCCACATCGGCTGTGTGCCCGCATTTTTTTGCTCTCACTGTTTTAAAAAGAATCTTACAACGAAACTCCCTCGCACAACACCAGGCAAAGACAGGCACACCTTGAAAAAGAATTCTTAAGATACAAGCCTCTCTCACAGCACTTGAAAAAGAAAACAGAGCATGACGAAGTGACACGCTATTTGCTCTGTTTTGCTCTCCTTTGAGCACTGCCGAGTCGCCAACGACCAACTCGCGATGGCTGTGTCCGACGACGACGTCGGACTGCCGGCGGGCCTCACACCGACGGCCGAAGGCAAGGTGAAGCGCCTTCTCGTGGTCGGAGAGTCCCGCGATGCCAAGAGTACGATCATCAATTTTCTGCGCAAGCCCGAGGCGGCGCAGCAGCAACGCGCCTCGAGCCACACGGACCGCCGACAGCCCCCTCCGCGGGCCACGATGGAAATCACGGAGTGCGTTGGCACAAGCATTCCATCGCCGCCACATTCGGTCCGCTGCTACCGCCGGTGGCCCTGGCGCAAGAAGCGAGCCTCCAAGCCGCACGTCAGACGCATTGACGCGGCGCTCCCTGACGACGAGCGACTTCGGGAGGTGCTTTCCGCAGCGACTCAGGAGGTGCTTTCCGCTGTCCACAGCCGGGCGTCGGTCAGTGAGGTAGCCATGCGCGTCCAGATGCTCAACGCCTGTCTCGGCGAGATGCAACTGCCTGCGTCCAGGAGCCAGCCAGCGGCGGTGCCACGGCTCGCGATGGAAAAACACGAGATGAGAGCGCCCTCCACAGGCGCGGTCAGCGCTCCGGCAGAGCGCTACTGCCCTGATCGCTCGCCCATCCGCGCCTTCCTAATCGACCTGGACGGAACCATGTACGAACCAGCTGGGCTCCTCCCCGGCGCCGCCGCGTTCTACGCCTGGCTGGTCGCCTCGCGCACACCACACATCTTCCTCTCCAACACCGGTGCCAAGAACTCGAGCGGCGTCCAGCGCAAGTTTCGCTCGCCGCCCTTTTCGCTCAGCGGGCCTGAGGTGCCTCTCTCGCACATCCTGACGGCTGCAGAGACGCAGGTGGACTACCTGCTGAAGGAGGTGCCGCGGAACGCGCGCCTCTATGTCCTCTCCGGCGGCAGCGGCACCTGGCGGTCGGACCTGCTCACACGCGGCGGCGCTGAGGGTGCGGCGCTGGTTGGGACGTGGGACGTGCGCACTACTCTGTCTGCTGGCGAGGCCAAGGCGTGGGCGGCGCACCAGGCGCTCTGCCGGCACGAGGCCTCAAAGGCGGTGTGGGTCGTGTTCTTTCACGACGGCGAGGTGGGCGGCCCCGGCTGCGACACCAGGGAGTGGAGCTTCGAAGTGATCAAGATCGCAGGGTTTCTGCTCTCTCACGGCGCACAGCTCGTCTACACGGCAGATGACGCCTTCAACCCCTCCGTTGACCCGGAGCACCCCGGACTTGTCTTCCCTTTGCCTGGTCCCGGAATGTTTGCGGCGATGATGCGGACGCTGATGTACCCTGCTGGCAGCGAGTCGGTTGCGTGTGCGGGTAAGGGGGGCAACAAGGGGGGAGAGATGATGATGGAGCGGGCGCGGCAGATGCTCATCGCGCAGGGCCACGACGGAGACCCCTCCACAATCTGCATGGTGGGCGACCGCTTCGACACCGACATCCGCGCAGGCCGCTCCGCCGGATTCCGCACGTGCCTCGCCCTGAGCGGCTGCCACAACCTCGAGTCCCAGCGCCACTACCCCTCGGACGTGGCCGACTTTTTTGTGGCGGGCGTCGGCGACCTGGTGCCAGAGGGGGCGCGGCGGGCCAGCCTGAGAGAGCAGAGCAGCTGGGTGGGAGCCTCAAAGTCGCGGCTGGGAAGCCAGCCCGCCGAGGAGCTGGTGGAGTGGACCCTCATTCAGTCTGACCTGACCCGGTCGGGGCGCGGCGACGCTGCACGCGCCGAATTGCAGTCGGTGCTGCGGCGGTGCTTCGACGCGATCGACGTCAACGGCGACGGAACGGTGGACGAGACGGAGCTGGTGAGTGGGTTCGAGCAGGTCGGGCTGGGAAGGTTGGCGCTCGCCGCGGCGAGGAGTAGGGCGAGCGATTACGGTGGCCGCCTCTCCTTCGACCAGTTTGCGAACGTCGTCGAGCAGGCAATGCCCCACCTGAGCTCACGAGGCGCTGGCGAGGCACAACCGTGACCCCCTCCCCCTCCCTCTCGCGCAGTCCCTTTGCGAGTGCGGCGTCGGCGACAGTCACGGCACGGAAGCCGTGGCTGTTGATCCAGACGCACGTGCCGCTCCACGGCTTGGTGTTGGGCTTGCAGGATCGTCTGCCGAGGGAAACGTAGGCGATCAGGGCGAGGCCCCGGAGCGCAGTCGACACCTCGTTCACGCCGATACGTGCACGCCGAGCCCGCGGTAGACACGAGCGAGCAGCACGTGATCCGTGTCCCTGCACTTTTAATGTCGTGGGGGGCTCCTGTCGTCCAGACCGCAGACGTGGAGTCGGAGGGACGCCCCCCCTTTTGCCCCACCACCTTGTGTCGGTGTGGAGAAGTTTACCTTACCTTACTGTACCGGTTACGCCTTTTCCCTCTTAGTCTTACCGCGCTAAACATGCCTGACCGTGTACGAAAAGCAAGAAAGGTATATACGCTCTCAGACACTCGAAAAGACAAAACATCAAAAGCTCCCGAAAAGTCACTCGTCGAGGACCGGGAGGCTGATCTCCAACGCCCCTCCGTTGCCCTGCATCACTGCACACCGCAGCGCGCGGTGGCGCGCGTGCCGCACCAGCGCCTCGCGCAGGGCGGCCTCGCCGCCCTTGCTGTGACTCCCGCGGCCAGTCACGACCACGCAGCGGCCGAGGACAGGCAGCACGGGCACGACCAGCTCGTCGAACTTGGCCTTCGCCTCGGCGACGTGCAGCCCGTGCAGGTCGATGCAGAGGCCCTCGGACTCGCCCGCGTCCGACCCCATCCCCAAGCTCTCGTCGTTCAGCGTCGCAAAGATGCTCGCCGCCGCGTTCTGCTGCGACGCCCGTAGAGTTTCGCGCAGCTCGTCGCAGCGGCCGCGGCAGGACCGCCACTCGGCGGAGACAGCGCCCGGCCCGAGCCTGTCGTCGCGCTTGTCCAGCGTCGCGAGCTTCTCAGCCTCGCGCTCCAGCTCTCTCTGGAGCGCGATGACGGGCCGCCTCGCCTCGAGGTAGACCTCCTGCTTGCGCCGCGAGTCGAGGCTGCCGCTGGTCCGGGCCGCCGCCCCGACAGCGTGCCTCGAGATGAGCTCGAAGAGCTCCTTCTCCACCGCCGCAGCGTCGAGGCGGCGGTGCACGAGCATCGCCGGCACGGCGTCGTGCAAGCCTGGCGCGACGGCGGTGGCGAGGTGGCCGGCGAGGAGGCGGAGGAGGTCGGACGCCTGGTAGGCCTGCAGCGCGAGGTTGTCGACGGTGGCCGGGTCGAGGAGCAGCGTGCAGTGTGGGCACTGGAAGCGTGTGGTCACGCTCTGCCCGTGAGGCACGAGCGGGTCCTGCCGCTCCTCGGTCGCCGGGACGGACTCGCGCATGTGGCAGAGGCAGGCTGCGCACGTCGCGTGGCCGCACTCGAGCACCGCCACGCTCGCGTCCGACAGGCTCGACCACTTCTCGAGGCAAATGGGGCACTGGCTGTCGGCGTCGCCGTTCCATGAGAACCCGGAGTTGTCGAGCAGCATGCCTCCACGCACCAGCTGCGCTGTATCGGCCGCCGCCACGGCCTCCTCGCCCGCCTCCGTCTCGCGCTGAGCGACGGACGCCTCGACCCGCTCCATCGAAGGAAGCCGCTCGCGCGCGCCAATCAGCAGCCCCTCCGTACCCTCCGGCAAGGCAGACGCGTGCGGCGTGGCGGCCTCCACCGCCCGCCTCAGGCGCGAAGCGTCTCGCGTCTCGGAGGTGAGCACCGCGACGAGCGCGTCCCACGTGTCTTCTCCGGACGCGGCGACAGCGTCCGCCTTTGCTGCCGCGATCTTCTTGCGCCGAGCCGCCTTTGCCGCCTTTGCCGCCTGCTGCTTTGAGGCCGCCAGCATCTGCCTCGCCAGCAGCTCCTCAGCGCGCCGCGCCGCATCTGCCTCCCTCGCCGCCGCAGCCTCCTCGGCCACCCTCTCGGCCTCAACCCGCTCGGCCGCCGCCCTCACGGCCACCTTCGCCTCAATCTCCGCCCTCTTCGCCTCCCTCGCCGCCGCCACAAGTGCGCGCTCGCACTCGGTGTGGCCCTTCTTCTTGGCCAACTGCAGCGCCGTCTTGCCGCTCGCACTGCGCGCCGCTGTGTCTGCGCCCGCCCGCAGCAAGCGCCGCATGACGGCGGGGCTGTTGAAGAAAGCGGCGCTCATCAGCGCGGTGAAGCCGTCGCTGCCCTGCAGGTTGATCTCCGCGCCGTGCCGCAGCAGCAACTCGACCACCCGCTCGTGGCCGTGGCAGGCGGCGAGCATCAGCGCGGTGCAGCCGTCGCTGTCCTGCAGGTTGACCTCCGTGCCGCGCTCCAGCAGCAAGTCGGCCACACGCTCGTGGTTGTGGTAGGCGGCGCCCATCAGCAGCGTGAGGCCGCTGAAGCCGTCTCTCTCGTAGGTCGCGTCGACCCGCCCACCGCCCTCAAGCCACGCCAGCACCGCCGCCTCGTCGCCTCGCTCAGCCGCTGCGACGACCTCGCCGGGGACTGCGACGCCTCCGCCCGACGCCTGCTCGGCCGCCGGCGCCAGCGAAAGATTGGCCGGCCGCAACCGCACGCACGCGCCGCTGCCCTCGATTGCCACCGCGTACCGCCCTAGCCTGAAACTCTGCGCCATGCCGCGCTGGCCGTTCAACTCGGGGCGGTCCGAGAGCCCACCGAGCACGACTCGCTGCCCGAGCAGCGGCGCGTCCACAGCTGCCGCTGCCGCGCCCGGGGAAGCGCCGCCCGCCCCCGCCTGGCCCTCCGCAGCCGCCGCCGCGCCCGTCGCCTCGCGCCGCGCCGCCTCCTCGGATAAGGCCTTGACGCACTCGGCGTGGCCCTTCTCCTCGGCCCACTGCAGCGCCGTATGCCCGCCCGAGGTGCGCGCCGCTGTATCTGCGCCCGACCGCAGCAGGCAGCGCACGACGGCGGGGTGGCCCTGGTAGCACGCCATGAACAGCGGCGTGAAGCCGCCGTCCCTGGCTTGGTCAACCGCCGCGCCAGCCTCGAGGAGCAGCCGCACGCACTCGAGCTGGCCCTTCTGGCACGCGACGTACAGCGGCGCGGTGCCGTCATTCTTGGCTTGTTCGACCGCCGCGCGGGCGCCGAGGAGCAGCCGGGCGATCTCGAGCTGGCCCTCCTCGCACGCGATGAACAGCGGCGTGGTGCCGCCACCGTCAGCTTGGTTGATCGCCGCACCCGCTTGGAGGAGCAGCCGGACGATGTCGACGTGGCCCTTGTAGCACGCGATGAACAGCGGCGTGGCGCCGTTGGCGTTGGCTTGGTTGACCGCCGCGCTGGCGCCGAGGAGCAGCTGGACGCACTCGAGGTGGCCCTCTTGGCACGCGATGAACAGCGGCGTGGCTCCGCTGACCGTGGCTTGGTTGATCGCCGCACTGGCCTCGAGGAGCAACCGAGAGATCTCGAGGCGGCCAAACTGGCACGCAACGAACAGCGCGGAGCAGCCGCCGCCAGCCGTCGCCCCCACGCTCGCGCCGCTCTCGAGGAGCAACCGCACGGCGTCGGCCTGCCCGCGGAATACGGCGCAAGTAAGCAGCGTGTTCTGGTTCTCGGCCTCGAGCCGCGCGTCGAGCAGGGCCGTGAGCGCCGCGCCGCGCGTCCACCCGGCGAGGAGGGCGCGCAGCGAGGTCAAGTCGCCCTTGGCCAGGAGGTTCGGCACGGTCTCAATGGCGTCACACATGGCGGCAGCGAAGAAGAAACGCAATCACCGGATTTTTCTTTTTGTGTCGCGCGGGGCAACCTCCGTATAGAAAGGCACCTCCCGTATAGAAAGGCACCTCCGCCTCTGGACAGGGTGGCCCGCACTAATCGACCCCTGTTAAGTGACTCGTTCGCTTACCACCCACTGTGATTTTGTGTGAGCTCTGTGTCTTCCTTTGCCAACAACATACCTACAACAATATACGTACGACGAGCGACTGGAATTCTTTTTTCGCGAGTCTTGACGCCTGTGCGAGCGACCACTGATCACAACTCGCGCGTGCTGCTGCAACTACTCTCACACCATGACGTCGACCGAGCCTCCAGCGCCCGAGATCTTCCTACTTGTGCTGCGACTGCTCGAGGGCTCGCCATGCTCCGGTGCATACGAGGCCCTGCGGCGCGAGGCGGAGGCGCACGGCCTGCTCGGCGAGCGGGTCGACTGGCGCGGCGGCCGGCACACGGCGTCCCTGCAGGAAGCGGCGGCGGCAGCGGGAGGGCTCCCACCGCCGGAGCACCTGCAGCGGCTCCTATCGCAGCTGCTTGCGCTCTCGCAGACCCAGCAGCCGCCGTCCGAGCGAGTCGCCGCAGCGCCGGTCACGCTGCTGACGCAAGGGCCGCGCTCGCTCGTCACTGTTGGCGGCGAGGGCGACGGTGGCGGCGTGGAGGAGGGCGACGACGAGGGCGGCGAGGGCGCCGGCGAGGATCGGGCTGCAGCCGGTGGGCGGAGGCTTGTCAGCTTTGGCCGGCGGGCTCCTCCTCCGCCCAGCGCGCACTGGAGCCGCTCGGGCGGCGCTGCAGCTGCAGGAGGTGCGCCTGCCCTGCTGCACGTGGCGCTGGCGAGGGAGCTCGGCGCGAGGCCGTTCCCGAGGCGACTCCTGCTCGGCCTGCGGGGCGGCATCGGTAGCAGCAGTGGTGGCAGCAGCGGTGGCAGTGGCGGTGGCAGCGGCGACGGCGGTGGCAGCGGCAGCGCTCGCGGCGGCGGCGGCGGCGGCGGTGGCAGCAGCGGCAGCCGTCTCGGCGGCGGCGGCGGGATGATGTCGGCGGTAGCGGCGCTTCGCGGCCACCTCTGCGCCGCGTACTGCGTGCTCTTTGACCGGACGGGACGGAGGCTGATCACCGGCGCCGACGACGCCGCAGTCAAGGCTTGGAGCCAGACACTTGCGAGACACTTCCGAGACACTGCTCAGGGGCTTCCTCGACAGCGGTCAGGGCGGGTCGTACTTGCGGGCATGTCCCGGACATGTGCCCGGCTCGTCCCAAGGTTTGGAGCTGCGTCAGCGGGCTGCTCCAGTTCACGCTGCGCGGGTCGCCGCCTCGCAGAGAGAGAGAGAGGGGCCGGCCGCACGAAGACACTTCCCCGACCGCCGCCCGGGCCCCGCCTGGTCTAGGCACGTGCGCGAGGTGACCGACCTGAAGCTCTCCCCCGCCAACGACCACCTCGTCTCTGCATCCAACGACACCACTGCGCGCGTGTGGCGCGCCGCAGCCGCCCTCTCGACTCGCCGGACCCTCCAGCAGCTCGACTCGCCTCACCGCCGCCGCCGTGCGCCGCACCCGCAGGGACCTCGCCTCCGGCACGCCCGTCGCCGTGCTCCTCCACCCGGCGCCAGTCATGTCCCTCTCCTTCTCCCCCGTCTTCGGGACCGCCTCCAGCGGCGAGGGCGAGGAGCGAGCTGGAGAGGGGCATGCCGGAGAGGGGGAGGCGCCGCTGTCTGCTCGCGGCCAGCCCTTCCTGCTGACGGCGAGCGCGGGCCGAGGCACGCTTCTCGGACCCTTCTCGGACCCTTCCCCGGAGCTTCGCCCGACCCCGCCGGTAGGTGTGCGCGGACGGGGAGACCCGCCTCTACAACGCCCTCGAGTGGGAGACACCGCCCCTCCTCCTCGGCAGAGCCGCGGTGAGAAGAGAAGAGAAGAGAAGGGAAGGGAAGAGATGGCCCTCCTCCTCGGCAGAGCCGCGGTGAGAAGAGAAGAGAAGAGAAGGGAAGGGAAGAGATGGCCCTCCTCCTCGGCAGAGCCGCGGTGAGGACTAGACACTTCCTAGACACTTCCTAGACACCTCCTCCTCGAGAGCCGCGGTGCCGCGCGCGGTCGTCGCAGAGTTTTGACGATTGGCCGTCAACCACTCCTTCAATTACTCGCGGATAGGTGCCGTTTCCTAGACACTCCTAGACACTTCCTAGACACTTCCTCCTTGGCGCGGATAGGTGCCGCGCGCGGTCGTCGCAGCCGCGGCCGGCGACGGCGCCGCGTCGAACGGCGGCGGCACGGTCGTCGTCGAGGCGTTCGACGCGCCCGAGAGCGTCGCGTACCCCGCCCCGGCCATCGGAAGCTCTCCTGGAGTGTGCGCAATCTCGAGCGACGGCCTGTACGCGTGCGTCGGCAGCACGGTCCACCCGTACGTCCACTTGTGGCCTCTCGCGCCGGCGCACCGGCTCTTTGACGCCGCGGTGAGGGCGGGCGAGGGGCGAGGCACGCAGCGGCGAGAGACTGAGGCGCCCTCTCCCCCCTCTTCTGGACACAGGCGAGCCGGCGAGAGGCGAGCCGGCGGGAGG